AGGAGTGGCAGATCCGCTGTGCTTCTCCAAGGCCATGGAAAAGGAACCCCAAGGCTCTGACTTCCAAACTGGAGCCTTGGAAGCGGGCTGTTCTCGTCCTGCCTGGGGCCAGTTCCCTGGACGGTACAAGGCAAGCTAAGCATGGAAGAAGGCTGGACCCTCCTCCTCACCACATACACTGAGTGTTCTCGTTCTGGTCAGGGAACATGCCCTCTTGGCTGCCAGACATGATCAAAAGGCAAAACAAACATTTTTCTTTATTCTCCTTTTCTAGTACCTCTCCCAACCCCTCCTCTCTCCCATCATCTCCCTTCCCCCCTAAGGGGGGGCAAATAAACCAACAACTCCCATTCCCAAGGCCTGGCTTTGGTGGCGAGGGAATGAACTATCCGGAACTCTAAGGCCCTTCTCCTGGAAGAGAGAGTAGTCAGGTGCAGAGTTGTGTGGGGAACTCGGCCTCTAGTCAGCCACGCTGATGACTCAGAAGCTAAATATAGTGAGCGATATAAACAGAGCCAGCCACAGAGCAAACACAGGGCCCCCAAGCCCGGGCCTGGCTCTCACGCACAGAGGCCCTCCACGGCCCCTCCCCCAGCCTCACTCTTCCCCAGGCGCCCTCCGAGGTAGACCTCCCACTGCTGGAACAGAGGCTGGCTCCACAGAGACCTTCCCACTTTAAGGTCAAATCTCTGGGGCTCCTGCCCAGGGCTGCCACATCTAGGGCCTGAACAACCTCATTAGCCACAGTGTGAGCCCCCAAACCCACTCAGCAACAAGGAGGGCATCCCAAAGGGTCAGGAAGCAGTCAAGGGCCCCTGAACAATGGGGATCCAGGCTGTTGGCAGATGTAAACACCACTCTGGGTACGACTTCCAAATGAGCTCCCCAAGAACTATCAAGACAGGTCCAAGCAAAATCCTAACATCATCTTTTGACACATTTCCCAAAGTGTTAAACTGTCCACACCTTAATAGTTATATGTATTACAATCTCCAACAGGCTTTCAAATTTGTTCTGCTAGGTATCAGAAATCAAGGCTCAGAGAACTTAAGTAATTTGCCCATGGACCCAGAACTCATCAGTGACAGAGGTGCTGGAGGAGACCATGGTAGGAGGAATGGAAAGAAACCAGAGCCCACACCTTCTGACCAGAGCAGCCCAAGAACACAGTGAGGAAGCAAACTTGTACCTTCTGTTTGCTGCTGACGCTGGACAGACACAAAAACACCAGGGCACCTTCACAGAACCTGAGTCAAGGTAGACCATGGTCAGCAGACCATGAGAGGTCACCTGCTGCAAAGGAACAAAGAGAGGAACGTTCCACTCCCGGCCTAGTCAAAGGAAGACAGGCATATGACCAGGTTGGAAAAGGCTTTTATCTCCAGTCACTTGGCCTCCAACTCTCTTGCTGCTTTGGAAACCCAAAGAGCTGACAGCAAGCACCTCACTGACACTGATCTTCTGCCTTCAAATCCTCTCCTTTCTGTCCAGAGGGGTCACTCTGAACTGATTGCTTGGGAAACTGGGCTAGAACCCCACCCTGCATGCTCTCAAGGAAGCATATTGGGAGGGCTTATGGCCAGCAAAAACTGACATCCAGTGGAATTTGCAACCTTTTGAATCTGAGGTCATGGCACTCAATTTGCCATAATGCCATCCTACAACGCACAAGCCCATCACTGTACTCCCTCCCCTCGCCCCCCCGCATCCACTCTAGTCCACATCTCCTAGGAGGAAGGTTTCCCCTGATATAAAAAAAGAATAACAGGTCCATAACCAGGGACAAAAAGTGGGAGCTCACACTCCTTACAGGACTCAGGGACCAATGGCCACTGTTTGGTTTTCAGACACCATCCCAAATCTGAGGAGAAAGGAAATGGCCAACCCCACTCAATGTCTTACTACCTCTTGAGTTGTGTTTCTTGGCTCTCTAAACTCAGCCTATAATGATGAGGAATGACCATCATTCTTTGAGGAGAAATGTATAAGGCCGAGTTCTACATACAGTTGAACAGCATGGACACCAATTTCTCTGTGCAGGGTGGGTGGAGGGGAGCTCAGGGGAGGCAGCTCTGCTAAGGGATCAGCGTGATGGGAAGAGTGGAAAAGTACTCAACTGTGAACTGACAAGAACAAATGTGAGAGATGATCAGGCTTATAGACACACGAGAAGAAGCTAGCATTAAAGAGTACCTACTGTGTGCCTGGAACTTTCATTGGTGTTTTCTCACTTAATAATCACAATAAAATTCTGTGGGATTAGCTCTAATTTATAGAAGAGGTGATATGCTTGGCAAGGTCAAGTGCCTTCCTGATGGCTAGCAGGTAGCAGAGCTGGTATTCACACCTGGGACCTCTGACTCTGGACTCAAAGCCTAGAGACTTAATCTTAAAAATCCTAGTGCCTCTGCTTCCTTGCCTGCAAGGAATAGGGAAGGGAAGAGAGAAAGAAAATAAAAGAATGTAAGAGTCACAACAGCACTTTCTAGATATGAAATATTGGACTGTGGTTTATGTAATAATCAAGGTCAGAAAATGACTCACTTCTTAAAACTAGCTGCTAAGGGGCGCCTGGGTGGCTCAGTAGGTTAAGCACCTGACTCTTGATTTCAGCTCAGGTCATGATCTCGAGCCCTGAGCCCCAAATCCCATGTTGGGCTCTGCACTGACAATGAGGTGCCCGCTTGGGATTCTCTCTCTCTGCCCCTCCCTCACTCTTGTGTACGCACATGGGCTCTCTCATGTGCTCCCCCCCCCATTCTCAAAATAAATAAACTTAAAAAAAAAAAAAAACCCAAAAAACTATCTGCTAAAATTCCTCTGCGTGCCAGGGTCCCATCTGCCTGTAGCCATCATTCTAGTCCTTCCCGCAGGATGAGCTCCTGGAGAAGGCCTGTGAGCAGGGTTAGTGGGGAGGACAGGGTTAAAGGCAAGAGGATTCCACAGACAAAAAGGCTGGTTCTCTGTAATGGAAAATTTGGGGAAACCAGCTCTGGGCTGGAAAGGCTTCGCTGACCAGCCTCCTGCCACTGTGAGGTAGGAGTAGACGGCAGGCAGGAGGGAGAGGGGCACAGGGAACTCAGGAGCCAGTTTTGGGTGAGGTGCAGAGCAGGGGGGACTCTCCTAACAGTTCTCCTTCTGGCTCTGCTGCTTTGCCCCTCCCCCAGGCTGGGGCGGCTCTGGCTGATAACTGAAAGCTGCCCTCAGAGAGGCAGCCCTGGACTGGGGGAAATGATGCCAAGCTGCAAAGAGCAGGGTCGGACCTTGGGATGAGGGCCTTCTCCTCTCTTTCAGGACTGAGTCAGCAAGAAAGGGCCCTGGGCTACATTCTAGTCCTGTCCTCACAGCCTGCCACCAAGCCCACAGGGGCTCACCAACGGAGGGAGGGATATTCTGGGAAACCACCGTTGAGAGAGATGAGGTCTACTGGGATCGAAGAAAAGTACCTTCCAGACAGTCCTCTAGTTGAGTCCCGGAGACCCACAGCTCCCCTGTCCTCTAGAGGCTCCAGCACCAGGACTGGGAGCTGTGAGCTCGTCTCAGCCACAGGCCTGCAAACCAGGCTAGAGTGAACGGACAGGAAGGAGGCCAAGAGCCGGAAATCCAGAATCAGAGTGAGTCCACACGTGGACTGAAGGGGAGACTCGAAGCCAAGTTTCCCGAAAACAATCAACGGAGGGACTGGGGACTGAAGCGTGAGGCCAAAGGAGAAAGCTAAGCTGCCTTATTATCCAAACATAGGGCCACCCTCTCTTCCAGGTCACTGAGGGACTGGCAGAGTCGACCAGGATCAGGTCTAGCCCTAGATTTCCCTCAGAGCTCTTTGGCAGAAGCCATTCACCATATCTAACCCACAATGGTCTGTTCTCAGGAGACCAAAAGACAACTTCTCTTTCCTCTGGTGCTGGCAATGGTTTGGCCCTTAAGTCAGACCTACTCAGATCACCTCAAGGTACCCATCTAACGTCAGGGTCTGCCCAATAGTGATGTTATTTATTCTCTTGATCTTGTGCACGAGCACGCACGCACGCACACGCACGCACACACACACACACACACACACACACACAGCCGCTGGGACAGTCCCAGAACGTGTTCGTTTCCAGGTGGCGCGCCTTCACTCTAGAGGCAGTTGTGCTAGCACGGATTCATCAGTCGGCTCCTCTCCCTGCCTTGGCAGTCATCCAGAAAGCCAGCCCAGAGAGGAAGGGTTAAGTGCCTGGGGGCTGGCCCAGACATGGGCCAGAGCAGGGCAGCCTCCAGCCCGTGGCACGGAGGGCTCCTCCAGCACGAGCCTGCCGGCCGCCGCCTTTGTTGATGGACTCTGGCACATGCTCGACTGACACGCGATGCTCCGCCCCGGCGGGGCTGGTGCCAGGCTGCCGGCCAAGCGCCCGCCCGTCTGGAGAGACTTTCCGAGGTACGCTCTCCAGAGTCCCAGGTCCCGGCTCCCAGACATAGACAATGAGGAGCAGCCTCCCCAGCTGGAAAGTGTCAGGTTACAACCGGTTCCACCACTTTCCCCCACTCAGGCCCATCCCTCAGCCCCGGTTACCCAGTTCCCCCTGCACCTCGGCTGGCCAGGCACCCCCAACTGTCCAGGTTCGCTGCAGCACCCTGAAAACCCTCCCCGTAGGTCTGCCAGAGACAATCTCCCAAGGCGGCCTCAAGAAGACAGTTTGTGGAGCAGAGCTGCGGAAAGCCACCCCAGTCCCCAGGAGGGATTGTGGCGTCTCTTGACAAACCTCGGGACAAATGGCTCTTTGGAAGCCGAGCTAAGAGAGGGCAGGTAACCAATGTGGTGCTCTGAGATGAGGGCAAGGGTACTCATCTTGCCAGTAGGGCCCATCTAGTCGGTGGGAATCATAATAGCCGAGGCCAAAGCTCTGGCACCATATCCTCAAGGCCTGGCAGAGACAGAGTTGCCGAGGCAGATCCTGGCCCCCCCAGCCCCAGCAGACTCTCCCCCTCCTCCCCCCGCCCCAAGCCCCCATGCCTACTTGCTGCATATGAAGCCGGTGGAACTGGTCTGCAATGCACTGAAGCTTTCGGGCAATCTGTACCTCTGCTCGATGTTGCCAATGCCCTTCAGGGGGCTGCTCACCAAGGGGCAAGCCTGCCGGGAAACTGGCAGGGAGAGGAAGCCGGTAGCCAGCGTTGCCTGAAAAGACAGAGGGAGGGCCCACACCTCAGCATACTCCACAACGGTACCACCCACCCCGTGCCTGGTGCTCCTGGCTGAGCCTCTTATCAGGGTGCTCCACCCAGTTTGGATAGCCTGACCTGCCTGCTACCCAAGCGTTGAAAAGCTGATGCTGGGGCACCTGGGTGGCTTAGTCGGTTAAGCGTCCGACTTTCGCTTGGGTCATGATCTCGCGGTTCGTGGGTTCAAGCCCCGCGTCGGGCTCTGTGCTGACTGCCAGCTCAGAGCCTGGAGCCTGTTTCAGTCTGTGACTCCCTCTCTCTCTGACCCTCCCCTGCTCATGCTGTCTCTCTCTCTCTCTCCTAGAAATAAATGAAAAAAAAAAAACGTAAAAAAAAATAAAAAAAAAAAAAGAAAAGCTGATGCTCAGAGGACAGGAGGGAATGGTCGTAGCCTTCCCTGTAGTTCTCTGGTCATGGGCAGTGCCAGGGCAGAAGTAATACGTGTGGGCAAACTTGCCAGCCCTCTGTCCTTATTTACCAAGCAACGCTTGGCCACAATTTATTTTTCATGCGGTAGCAGGTTGAAGCTCTGCTCTGGAAAAGCACTGGAGGCAGCTCTCCGGAGTTCCTGGGTTGAGCAAAGCAAGGAAGAGAAAGAGAAAACCAAAATGTGCCTTGGCTTTTGCCTCTGGCCCGGCTCAGGTCCTGGAGCCCTGGGCAATGGAACTAAAACTAGGGAGGGAAAACTCCTCAGACCCAGCGGAGAGCCAAGTTCCTCTCTGGAGGAGCCCCAGGCCAGACCACAAGACCTCGAGACCGGCGCTGCACCCTGACCAAATGCTGGCAATCGAGCTGCGAGCTGCCACTAGGGGTGCCCGCCTCCTCCTCCTCCCTGCGTTCCTTCTTCCCGGCAGGCCTGCCTTATCCATCTTCTCAGACTCCCGAAAGAACTACGGGGTAGCTCCCTCCAGGAATAACTGCAGTGTCTCCTCAATATGCTCCATCGGACATAGCAAGAGGGCTTCTGAACCTTTCCCCTCCCTCCATAAGCTATTGTGCTAAAAGAAGAAAGCAGACTGAGTGTCTAGCACCATCCCTTTGCCTGAGGAGGGACATGTTACCCCTAAAACAAACCATTTAAGCCCACAAATGAAGGGGTCTTGTCTGATCGAGCCTTGGAAACGGCCCCTCTGCTGGCATTGAGCTCCGGCAGGCCCAACCTCTTTCTCCAGTTCCCCTTCCAAGGCCAGAAAGTCCCAAGTGACACCTTGTGCCTTCAAAAACCTTCCCTCCCGGAAAGGGCTGGGTTTTTCCCTTCAGTGTCAACAGCGAGTCACAGATCCCCCAACCCTCTCCCGGGTAATGTTGGCCAATTTACGGAAGGAATACCACTACCAGGACACAAAAGGTTGGGCCACGCCACGGGCCACGGGATGTAAGAGCCGAGGCCCAGGTACCCTCTCTCTGACCCAAGAAGACACCCTAGACCCAAGGATCCCTGCCAAAAGGGACAAAAAGGCAGAAATAATGGCATAGCAATTTGCCTTTGGTGGATCACAGGTGAAGAGCAAGAGCAGAGAAGCACGGGGACAAGAGTCAAGGAATCAATAGCCTCTGCTCAATTTGGGGAAGGAAATAACAAAGCGCAGGTTTGGGGAGGGGAAGTCCCCTCTTTTCCCCCAGTCTCTATGGGAGGAGTCCTGAGGCTAAGAGCACTCACCATAAAAGAGTCGCTGGGGTTCTTCGGTCACCCCACAAGGCAGCATGACACCCTGACTCGGGGAGGCCGGACTGAGGGTCTGGGTAGCCTTGTCCTCCTGGCTGGTGGGTCGAAGCCCAGGGCCGCAGCAGTGGGTGAGAGGGAAGAGCTGCAGGTGGCTGAGGGGGCAGTCCAGCTGGCTCTGGGCAAACAGGTTAGCAGACAGCAAGCTCCCAGGCTGGCTCCCCGGCTCCCCATCCTCTGGCTGGAACACGTCATCCTCCAGCTCCTCCACGCACTGAGGTGGCTCCATCTCCCCTGCTAGGGTGCAATGCAGGCATCTGGGGTGCTGCCCCCCCCACCCCACGCCTGGCCAAACCTGAAAGATTCCCTTCCCTTTCTCCTTTCCCTTCTATCTGAGGAAGCGGGGTCAGGTTCTGGTGACAGACAACCTACTGATAAGGCACCACCGAGGATGCCACCCTCCCCAAATGTGGCCTGCCTCACTGTTCAAGGATGCTCCACACCTCCTCCCTGGCCCTTCCCAGAGCTGCCCCCACTTTGGCCTTTTCTTTTGACCCAGGCGGGTTCTGGTCATGAAGTCTGACTGCTATTGGCTCTGAGCAATAGCAAGGGTATGATCAACCACGACACGTACTCAGGACACCCAGGGACATGTCAACAGGACTAAGCCCTGCGAGTGGCTGTGGGAGGGCAGAGGGCGCTGTGACTGGCTGTACACACAGTGCTCACCACAAACACACACACACACACACACAGCCCTGAGAAGTAACAGCCAAAGGCTCAGTCTGGATCTAGGCTCAGCAGCAAAAACAAAAGCAAGCAATCCTCGGCAGCCAGGTTCCCTCCAAACCTGCTAAGCCCCTCCCAGCTGCCCAATCTCCTCTAGTCCCCACCCCCTGCTTGCTCAATACAACAGGCTCCCTGGTGTGGTAAGAGTGTGTGTGTCCCAGGAGAAAGGGCAGAAAGACCCAAGTTAGTCATTGCTCACTCAGCAAAGGGGAGGTGTGTGCCCACCACGGCTTGGCCTAGAGGGTAGGTCCGACATCTAGGAAAGTGGCCAGCCTCTCCCAGCTCACCAGCCTCCATGACTACTCACTAGTCTCCAGGAGTTCAGTCTTCTTTTCCCACAGCCTCCCATTCCTGTCAGCGCTGAACCTGAGATTATTATAACCTTCCTCACAGAAGGAAGTGAAATTCAGCCCTCTTTCTGTGATCTCACTCACTGCCTATGTACTGGTCAGGTTGTTGATAGGAGTTTCTTGGCGATAAAGAAGTTCCCCTTGCTCCACCTGATGGCTCTGGGAAGTCTGAGTTTGGAGCTACCCAGCATCTTGAGCTCCCAACTCAGCCCCCTACACACACAGGGGGCACCTGTTAGGGCCCCCGGGGCCGCCAAAAGCAGCAACTACCTGAATGGTTAAGGATACAGAGAGACACTGCTCATCAGACTCAATTAGAGATCCCCTGGGAATTCTCTCAGCCTCTTCCCTTTGAAGAACAAGCCAAATGGTCTGTGGCTTGGTAAAGTACTGAAAGGAATCTCAGTTAAATTCAGAATCTTGGTTTTCCCAAATGCAAGCGCTCTCTGAGGTGCTGGCTTCAACTCTCCCTCCATCCCAATGGAGGATGGAGCAATGTATGGTCCTATCTCTGTCCTCTTCCCTGGGGAGGAGACGCCCACTTGGATGGCAAAACGGGCACACGGTGTTCTTTGTAAAGCATTTCCCAAAGAAAAGTGGGCGATATTCAGCTTATCAGCACAAGGAAACAAAGTTTCCTTCTGAACCAAGGGCCATCTTGCCAGTCACCTGGCAGGGGCTCCCCTCCTGCCCCTCAACCTTCTCTCTACAAGCTGGCAATCCCAAACTAAGAAGGGGCCCTCCAAAGCTAATCGCAAGCAGGAGTCATTGTCTTGGTCTTTCCTTTGAAGCCGGTCGCCTCCCCCTCTCCCTCCCCCTCCCAGCAAAGCCCCAAAGTTCAAACCTTGCCCGGACTGGACTGTGGGGGAAATGCGGCCATAGGGTGTGTCTCTGCAAGCCCTGGGGACCCTACCCATTCTCCACAGGAACTGCAGGTGGCTCTTCTGTAAGTGGGAGCCTCTAGAGGGGTGCTGGGCAAGGTCAAGTGTAAACTGGAATACGGTAAAGAGACCTCTTCTCCCCTTGCTGAGGAGGTGATGTCCAAACTGGTAGGAGGAGCACACTTCCTGAGAGCACTGCCTGGGAAGGCTTTATTCCTAGCAAGGGGAACCAAAGCCCGCTGGAGCCATCCCAGCCCCTAAGGGCTCTAACAGGGATGCTGAACTTAAGACTCCTCCTCCTAGAAGGCAGTAGCCACGCACTCTGAACTCCAACAGCAGTTAAAATCTCGGAAAGCACACATACAAGCATACACACGCACCCACACAACACACAGCAGACCTGGATGACTCCAGGAGAGAGTCTCCGCCTCCGAGTCGTGATGCCAGGGCTCCGCGCCAGGGTCCAGCGTGACGAACACTCGGGGGCTTGGCGCCCAGACTCAACTGGGAAGGAGGGAAAGAGCCCAGCTGTTAAGGAGAGGGGCCTTCAGACTCCGCAGGGAGGCAGGACGCCCCACAACTCCCTGTCCTACCCCAAAGTCAGATCCAGAGGCCAGGCGGTTCACCGGAGCCCAGGACTTCTCAGCAGTGCGCCGCAGGTTCCCCCACCCACCTGGACCCAACTCCTTGCAGTCAGAAATGCTACTACCTTCAAGTTCCCTCGTGGAGCAGCGCACTAGATGAGGGTTCTGTACCCCGCTCCCGCACCCCAGCGCTCCAGTCCTTCATAGTCACCTCACACGCCCGCAGCCCAACCCTTCCCGGGCCCCCACGCGCAGCGCGATTCCACTCCCCACTTCCCCGAGGAGGTGCGATCCAACTCCGCTCGGCCCCCGGCCGCTCGCGCGCTCACCGGGCTGCGGCGAGTGGCGGGAGGCGCTGGCAAGGGCGGCAGCGGCAGCTGGCGGGCTGGCGCGGGTGGAGGCCACTGTGCACCGCGCGGTATTGTTTCCAAAATACGCCCGCTCGGGGCATCCCGCAAACAGCTGATGAGACCCCGCCCCCCGCGCGTCACGTCCACGGCTGGCCAATGGCGAGTGGAGCCCCAAGTCCCGGGCTGGGCGGCTGCCAGGGACGGTCACGAATGTACGAACCTTCCCTTGGAAACATTGCAAGGGGCCGAGCGAAATTCCGGCTCCCATCAGAAACGCAATTGGAGCGCCATAGTCCGAGCAGATACCGTTCCTAACGCAAGCTCGGGAAGGACTGGAGAGTCCCTGAGTCCTCTCTGTTAGAAGGGAGAGAGGGGGCGCCAAAGTGACTTTTATCTTCTTTTTCTCTGGGATGGCCGGAATAATTACGGAGCGCCCACACGGGAGGGGAGGAAAGCCGGAAGCTTTCAGACTCGGCTGGCGGTGTCCGCTGGGTGCAAGGTGCGGGTCCCTGTGGATCCCGGTGTGGTAGCAAAGCACCCTCCCTCCTGCCTAGGCTGTCAGAAAAAACTCCAGGCGCAAATCTGTAGAATGCATGAGAACACGTGTGTCTGGCGTAGTTGCTGGGAGACGTTTAGATCAAACACATCCAAAGGGACCAAAGGCTGAGGAGAGGAGAGACCAAGAATTCAAGGGCTGCTTGAGCATTTGACACACATCCTGTTTATGGCAGCGTCCTGGGGGTGGTGCTGGTTGATGCCTACAGAGTAATGTGTCCTGCAGAGCGTGTACCCTCAGGGAAGGGAGTCCCCAGGCCATTTCACGAACATTTATTGAATACTTTCGTTGTGCCAGATCCTGAGTTAGGAGCCAAACACCTGGTGCCTGTCCTCAGGGAGCTTGCAGTTCACTCAGAAAGGAAGATTTGGAAATAATGGCCTGTGGCATGAAATGTGTTAGTTTTCAGGGACAGTGACTACCCGGAAGGTGCAGAAAAATTCAGAATGCAAAACACTGGGGAAAGCTTCAGAGAGATGGATTTTGAGGTGGGCGTTGAAGGATGGGGACATTTTTCAATGAAGAAAACCAGACCAAGCAGCCCAGGCCTAGCACACAGAATAAAGTGCTGAACTGGACATTCTGCCCTGGGAGCACCACAGGCTGGACGAGGAGGGCACCCCAAGATTTGGGGGGGGCATGGGTAGGTAGATTCAGGTCAGAGTACATAGGTGTCCCTGCAATTCCAGGCTGGAGAATCTACTTTATTCTGGAGGCAAAGGGGAGCCAGCAAAGATTTTATAGAAGATGAGTGACTTGACCAAGCGTACATTTTAGGAAAGATAAATGAAGAAGCCAGAAATCAGTGAGAGAGCCAGTCCCTGCAACAGACTAGGTGATCAATGATGGGCCTGACCCCAGAGATAGTAGGGACTGACAGTGCTCTGAACACCAAGCTGCGGTCTCTGGTTATAAACTCAGACAGATTTAAGTTAAGTGGAGCTGGGACTTTTAGCCCAGAGGAGTCTGAAGTCTCCTTGCACCTTTTTCCTACCCATTCTTTCCTTAACTTCCTCAAAGGGTACCTGAAAGACAGCCAGCCAGGCATATTGAGGGCAGGAAAACACTGTCCCCAAAGTCCAGAGAAGAGGGAAAAGGGAAGGAGAAGAGAGTCAAGGTTGGCCAGCAGCCCAGTCCACCACAAATTGACAGATGTCCAAAGAGAGGTGCTAGAGCCAAAAGCAGGTATATTATTTTACCAGGAGCCTTGGCCAAGAGGGAGTGTTAGCTGGTCAGGGTGACCTCGCATTCACGCCAAATGTGGGGTAATGAGGAAACCAAGCCCAGCCACCACGCAGGGCACTGGGGAGCCCTTACCATATTCACCATGCACAGACCTCTTTCCCCTCCTTCCTTCCAGCCTCTCTTCTTAATGTTTTTCCTCCTGGACCAATGTCTCAAGCCGGCCAGTGATGACCATGGGTATTACTTAGGATCAAGGATGGAATTGAAGGACAAACCAGCTCTGAATCTGTCCTGTTGGGCAGCACAGGCCCTGAGGGACAGAGGTCATCGTGATTCTCCTTACCCTCTGCCCCACACTGCTACTGCTCTGTTCGCTTTATCACAGTCCTGCATGGTAGAATGGGGTCCACAAGGCAGGGAAGCTGGTAGAGCAAAACATTTACCTGGGATCCATTCACTTGCCAGACTCACCAGGGTCTCCTCAGCTTTAGGGTCTATGAACCCTTGAAATTGGCTCAATTGTGTATGTGGGCTCACACAAACATTTGGGGGGGTGGCTCCGTAGCTTACAGCAGTTTTCCAAAGCGGCTTGTGATCCTATAAAAGGTTAAAAATCACCCGTGGAGGGGGAGTGGGGCTGGGAGCCCAAGGGATCATCTTAGCAGGTCTGGGTAGCTTGCAGGATGGGAGGAGGGTCACACCCTCCAGTGACACTTCTTCTATGACCTTTATCCCAGGCCTTCCCAGCCTGCTCTCTCCAGCTTGTTCTGAAGGACACCCAGTGGCTCCGCTTCCTGTGCTCTCGGCCTCTAAGGTCAAGCAGCAGGGGCCCAGCCTTCTGAGCTGCAGGGACCAGAAAAGAGTGTCAGGGATAAAGGGGTCAGGGAGGTCAGGAGCCTCACTCCCCACCTCTCATCACTTTTAAAGCAGACCCCTCTCTCTGTGCCTTTCTTCCCCTTCCAGCACAGGGCAGGCACAGCAGTGTCAGGACCAGCCTGGCTGGAGATCCGGGCTCTGAATCCCAGACCAACAGCAGCACCCTAGTTGTGCTAGGCACCACAGCCATCTTTACTTTGGAGAATGTCCTCTCTCTCTCTTCCCACCCCTTGCACTGATTTGTTTTCTCCTCTGCCATCTGATGTTGGCTGTGGGGTCCCCCTGTGAAGTTGCTCTGAAAGGCGTCAGCATGGAGGCCCCGAGACGGAGTCAGACCCTCCCAACAATCTGGGAGGGATGCAAAGAGTTAAAGGGAGGCTGCTTTCAACAGAAGAGAAAACCCAGCTCCCTCCAGAAAGCAGGCAGCAGCCCTCTCCATTGTTTCACCTGGCTATAGGATTTCTCTCAGAGACAAGGAATGGGCTCTAAAACTCTGGTAACTGGATCACTGGGAAGGGAGGTTTTTACAAAACCAGCTGACAGCTGAATAATAGGAATTACCAGGCAGGCTGCCCTGGGGTTGCTGAGGTTTGTAACCCAACCCCCAGGGAGGGGTTAGATTGGAAACTGATTTATGGGTAACGTGGGGGTCTTGGTAGGGGAGTCCATAGTGCTTGACCCCCTTGCCTTTTAACTCCCTCCAGGAGAGATCACGTCCATAAGAAAGACCAGGAACCTGGAAGACTTGAGTGTCCTTCCCTTGCTGGTATTGGTCTCACAGAACGAATTTATCTCTTGGAGCATCATTCCATCTGTCTGCAAAGGAACAGTCGCTGTCTTCTGAGTTGCAGAGAGAGAGAGAAAGAGAGAGTGTGTGTGTGAGAGAGATTGAGACGGGGAGAAAGAGAGAGAAAAAAGTAGATTGGCTTCTGCTAATTGGGTAAGCAAGTGGAGAGACTTGATTTCCCACTCAGTGAGTTCATTATTTGCCAGTCAGTGGTCAGTGGGATTCAAACAGAAAAAGCAGATGCCAAAGAGAAAACATTTGGGAGCTCAGACCTGGATGTTAAAATGCAGGGATGGAGGCTGCTGGGTTAAAGCCTGGTGGAACCTAAATAAAGTCACGTCTGGGATCCCATGACTTAATGACATTCAGCACATGCTCAGTTTCAGTTTTCCATGAATGAATGAATATACATTTCCAATTTTAAAAGTATGAATAGTTTCGTGTTGGGGAATGGGTACCCTCAGACCACCCTCCTCCCAGCTTGGCGTCTGCTGGAACTAAGACTGTGGAGACACATTTACAGAAAAACTACAAGTGTGGCCCTTGTCCTCATCTCCCCTCTCCTCCACCTCCTCCCCAGCCCAGGCCTCAGCATGCCCAGCCCGCAGAAAAGAAGTCAGCTTATCCTGCCAGGCAATGAAGAAACCCAATCAAAATACTCTCCTTTTACTCTACTTCCCCCAGGATGCAGCAATTTTCCTGGGCAAAGGTACACCAGTACGTCGGTGCCTACTTCTCCTGGGGATTAGCAGGGAACCCTCAGAAATGTTCAGCTGAGGCCAGAGACCAGGTGTAGGAAAGGGTAGTATCTGGTGGTGAGGGAGAAGCTCAATTACCCAGGTGTGAGTTCATCACATGTTTGCTAAGCATCTGCCATGTAAAGGCTGGAGGTACAGATACCCTTGGGGGATCCTTGACCATATCCACACCCTTTCTCCCAAAAGCGAACCATCATATGCCCACCTTGAAGAGAAACTGGCGACAGGAGGAAGGTCTGTCAGGGAGAGCTACAACTGAAGGTAAACAGATTTCCCAGGGAGGCTGAGGCTCTCCCAAAGCGGTCTTGCCTTTCCTCACACAGAGCTATCTTAGAAATGTCCGAGGCCCCCACTTCTTCTCTGTCCCCAAGGCTCACCCATCATCAGGTCGAGTAGAAAGATGTCAGGAGGTCTGGGGCCAGTTCCCAGCTCTGCCATCAACGGGTGACCTTCCATCACGTTTGTGTCCTAACCCTACAGATTCAGAGGTGGCCCACCTTGGCTGAACTGGCTGGCTTGGCAGGGTGTACGACTTTAGGGTCAACACCAGCCTCTCATCCCAATTCTGCCAGAGGTCCTCGGGCAATAATCAAAACAATCCCACTTGTTGAGCACCTACTGAATGCGAGACACTGGACAAAAGGGAGCTCCTTTAATCCTAAACAACCCCAAGAGGGAGCTATGACCATCAGTTCCATTTTACACTCAAGGAAACTAAGGTCACTTCTCCAAAGACAGGCAAATTGGCAACAACGCCATGATTTGAGGCCGATCTGTGCAAAGTGAAAGCCAGTGCTCACATCCCCTACATCTACTGCCTTAAAGGCACACCCAGTCCCTCCCCCACAGACAGAATTCACTCCCCTTCCCCCATCAATAACACACTGTCCCCTGTGCCCCCAGAACAGGAAGGCAGAGCCCGAGGCAGCCTAGCGAGGT